ATTTAACATTAAAAAAACAAAATTTTTTTTCTTTTAAAACTGATCTTGAAATTGCACAGTTACGTGAAAATCACCCTTATCCCAGTAAAAAAAAACTAATTCAAATGAATTGAAACGAATTAACATTTTTGGTAGGCTCCAATTCGTATTTGTCACAAAGCGGGATTCACTCAAGCTCTTTGTATATTCAATTGAATTTAATTCAATATGTACCAATTTGTCCAAACGAATTCGCATTCGAAAGAAATGGCCAAGGAATGCATTGAATTTGTGCTAACGAATTGAAAAAAATTAAAGGCTCAAAACTTGTCCAGTGAATTGGTACGGATAGAAGGTTCGGAAGTTCAATACAGTTTCACGAATTCAGGAAAATTGCATCATGGCTCCAATTCGTATTTGTCACAAAGCGGGATTCACGAAAGCTCTTTGTGAATTCTTTTTAATTCATTTCAATTAGTTTTCGTTTACTGGGATACTTCAATTTTTTGAATATTTTTCAAAAATCTAAAATTTGAAAAATAAAATTTGTGCTGAATTCTTACAAAAAGCTTTGTATTATTTTTTTATTTAAATTTCATGCAATTTTTTTTTTTGGAGTCGAAGTAAAAAAAAGAAAAAATGTATTAAAATTTTTTTTAACTAGGCAACCCAGGCGCGAAGTGACGTCGAGTTCAGGCTTTATAAAGATTGGCCGAGCATTGGTCAACATTGATTGAGCATGAGTGAATCAGCGAGAGCAGGACTGATCGAAGCTTTAATGTAACACCGATTCCAGACTGCAGCGCGAGCCTTGATTCAGCATTGAACACCAATGCTCAATCAATGCTGCGGACGCCTAATGCAGGACTGAAACAAGACTGCTTCCACTGTTCCCAAATTTACTCGTTTCTCACGTTTATTCAATATAATGTGAATATATGAATTATTAATAATAATAATAAATATTATTGTTATTATTTTAATTCATGTGCGTATATATACATATATATTTAATGACAATAAGTTATTATTTGTAATAATTATATTATTTTCATATAAATAAGAATATATTACTAACAATAAATATCATTTGAATAGTAATTTTAAAAAAATAATTTTAGTAAAAAAAGACAATTTTTCTGTTAATCGTTACATTTTTTTCTTGATTTTTAACAGACTTTTAACATTATTTATAAACATGTTCACATTTTTTATTCACAACACAACACACAATTTTATTATTTTATATAAACGCTTATAACAAAGAATGAAAAATATTTGCTCGCATGTGGGATCGGAACTCACGCACCCCGCCCCTAACGCATACCGGAAGTTCTCAACGCACGCATTTAAACCGCTCGGCCACAGAAGGCTGGAAGGCTTCTCGCCTAATCTACAATATCAATGCCAGTGCCGTCACTCAACATGGGACACCAATGTTCGTCCCATACTCGTTTCAAGTCTCAGTAATCTTGTTACAATATTCAGTTCCTTTATTGCCGTGTACACTGTACAATATTAAATATAAATATTTATAAATTATTTAATATTAAAATATTTTTTCTGATAATTTTATAAGTTAAATTATATATTATTTTTTTTCTCGCACAGTGTCAAATTATTATTTTCAAATTCAAGAGTTTCGTTTATCTGAAAAATTTTCAGTGAAAAAAATGTTCATTAGGTAGTAATAAATATTTATGCCTAGTAGTTTTACACTAGGATTAACTGTTTACTGAATATTATCAAAAATATATTTTTCGTCAAACGCGCGCGACTAAACACAAATACCACCATCCCATCTACTCAATGCTTTCCCCGCCTGTGACGTCATGAGGGGAAAGCATTGAGTAGATGGGATGGTGGGAGCACGACAATCGCAACGTCGCGCTGTAAAGTCTCAAGGTTATTTGTGTTTAGTCGCGCGCGTTTGACGAAAAATATATTTTTGATAATATTCAGTAAACAGTTAAACCTAGTGTAAAACTACTAGGCATAAATATTTATTACTACCTAATAAACATTTGTTTCACTGAAAATTTTTCAGATAAACGAAACTCTTGAACTTTGAAATAATAATTTGACACTGTGCAAGAAAAAAAAATAATATATAATAATTTAACTTTATTGATATGAATCTTATATAATTAATATAAATATTATACACTAAAAAAATATTAATATTTATTTACCAATTGATATCTTAATAATAATAATAATAATACTTATTATATTATTTAATAATAATTAATAATAAGAATAATAATTTTTAAATAGTATAAAAAATTACTAAAAAATATCAGAAATAATATTTTAATATTAAATAATTTATAAATATTTATATCTAATATTGGTAAGTGCACACGGTAATAAATAAACTATCAAGATTGATTCAAGATTGAATAAAGACTGGATGTTGAAGCTCCACTCACGAAGATTGACCGAGTCTTGAATCGAGCATGGGACGAACATTGGTGTCCCATGCTGAACCAATATTGAGTGACAATGATATAAAGACTGCTTCAACTCTGGGTTACCCACGCTGGGCGTTCAAGACTCAGTCAAGTTTCAACCCATCGTCAGCACTGGTCTTTCGCGCCTGGGTAATATTCTTAAAAATTCTTGTAAAAACAATGAAAAATATTTAAATGAAATTTTCAGTTGGTTGTTGTTTATGACTTATAGGTAATTGTAAAATGCTGTAAAGTCATAAAATGCTAATGAAAAATTTACTTTTGACAAACAAAAGAAAATAAAAAAAATGGATGATCAAACTTTGAAATATTGTTTACTAATTTTTTAAAATAATTATTTAACTTTTTGAAAAATTGTTTTCAGATTTTATTATTGTGCTCACGAGCACAATTAGGCACAAATTTTATTTTTCCAAACTTTTGATTTTTCAAAAAGGTTCAAAAAGTGTGATTATTTTAAATAATTATTAACTTGTTGTACAATTGTTCTTAGACTTTTTTATTGTGCTCGCCGAGCAAAATTCAGCACAAATTTTATTTATTTTAAATTTTGATTTTTGAAAAATGTTAAAAAAAAATTGAAGTATAAAAGATAATTTTTTTTTAATTTTTAAAAAATATTTTAATTTTTTTTCCAGCACAAAATATTTGTTATCGCTTGCTAGTTGTAGCACAATTTTCGTTTTTTAGTTTTATTATAATTTTGTTGAGAAAAAATGAATTGGCGTTGCCAACTTCTTGGACATACGTTCGTGAGCGTGTCAGTCTCAACGGGGCGCCATAGACTATTTCGTTAATTTCTCGAAAAGTTATCGCGATCCAACTATAAAAATTTTACGAAAAATTTCATATTACTTTTGGCTATCACTATAAAAAAAATTTTAAAAATCGGAGGGGGGGGAGTGTTTTTCAAAAAATAAAAATAAATTTTTTTTGAAAATATTTTAATAATTTATAATAAATTTTTTTTCTAAAAATTTATTTAAAAAGTAGTAGTCATACTGAGAAATTTAAAAAAAATTTTGAAAAAATATTCAAAACAACCGGAGTTATCTTGATTTTAAAAAATTAGTACATAAATTTGAATATTTTCAAAATTGCTTTCACTTTATCATATCTTATCCTTATAGCTACAAGGAAACAAAGTTTCAAAAAAATTGCTAACAATGTCGAAAAATCTTTGATCATTTCACATGGAATTGCTCCTTTGCAAAATAATAAACGTATCTATTTTTCCCGTGTTTGTTACGAGGGATATTTTATGAGAAACCATCATAGTCTCCCTTGGTCGAGCGCGTCTAGGCGCCTCCCAGTACGGTTGAGCCCTGTATGGTCGCGTGTTCTAATCTTAGAAGTCTCAATCGTTTGGGAAATTCTGAAATTTTTTTTTTATTTATTCTGATTTTTTTATTTTATTAACATTATTAATATCAAATTTAAGCAAAATGTAACACCCTCTTGATTTATTACATTTATTTTAACTGCGAATTTTATTTTTATTGCCCAACCGCATTTCAGTCCTTTCGATGGATCGGACCGCGGGCGGGCGATATTGCCAGCAATGGCGCGCACATTTAGCTCATCATGGGCCGGCACGGCGGTCCGCTTGATCGGACCGTAATCCGGCATAAACGCGCCTTAATAGCAAACATTTTGTTATCTGGGCTACTTCAAAAATTCTGTAAGAATCACTTTCGTTTATTCTTGTAGCAAAATTTTGTCGAACAGTTTAGTCGAAACGCCATCTGTTCGAATTGTAAAGTAGTAGAATGGTAAAGTAGTCGAATGTTCAAATAGTCAAAATGCCATCTGTTCGAATTGTCAGGTCAAATAGTCAAATAGTCGCCATCTGTTCAAATTGCCAAGTAGTAGAATGGTAAAGTAGTCGAATAGACAAATAGACGAAACGCCATCTGTTCGAATTGTCATCAGGTAGTAGAATGGTAAAGTAGTCGAATGTTCAAAACGTCTAATCGTCAATTCGTCGAATGCTCAGAACATCGAATTGTTAGTTTGTCGAATGCTCAAAACGTCGAATTGCCAAAAATTCGAAAAATTTGTTTGATTTAAGTTTACATTAACTTAAAACAAACAAATGTTTTCTTAGATCAAACAAATTTTTCGAATTTTTGAGGATTCGATGTTTTGAGCATTCGACGAATTGCCATTTCGACGTTTTGAGCATTCGACGAACTGACAATTCGATGTTCTGAGCATTCGACGTTTTGAACATTCGATTACTTTACCATTCTACTACCTGACAATTCGAACAGATGGCGTTTTGACTATTTGTCCTTTCGACTACTTTACCATTCTGCTACTTGGCAATTCGAACAGATGGCGCTTCGACTATTTGAACATTCGACTACTTGAGTTGCGATTGAGCATTCAAAGTTTCTAGACGTATTTACGGGTCGCTCTCGTTCAATCGCAAAATTATCAAATATTTTGATTTTTACGAACGGCAAGTGTGCTTTTTTATCGGAAGTGTTAATTGTGCAACTGGATAGTGTAATTCTGGATTTTCTCTAATATGCAACGGTTAATATGGAAACCGATACTCCAGACAACTCATTGCAGCCGGATTCTCTCACAAAGCTCCTTCTTTCTATTCAAGAGCAAGGAAAGCAGACCAATAACAAACTGGATGTAATGGACTCAAATCTACAAGAAATAAAAAGGGACAACCATGTATTAAAAACGGATTTGAAGATCTGCAAAAGAAAATATGATTGCTTAACTGAGGAAAATAGGGTGCTAACCGAGAGATTACCCTGCTGGAAGTAAAGGGATAGAAATCCTATCTCTTTGAATATTTTTTATCTCTGAGATAGAAAGAGATAAAGTTTCTCTATCTTAGTCTATCCCCATTTTATCACTTTAATCACTTTTTATCTCTCCTTCTGTATCAATTTTATTCAATATAACCTTTATTCATCATTTTTAATACTTTCAATGTCCACACCTATCTCTTCCTATCTCTAATTTCATTTAAGAACATACTTATCTCTTTTAATATTCTTGTTTCTATCCCAGGCTATCCCTTTTTCATTCCTCTCAATCTCTTTCTATCTTTCCTTTTTATTCAATCTCTTTTAATGACTCTTACTTTATCGCCTTTTATCCTTTTACTATTCACTTCTTTCTCTTTCTATCCCTTATTTAAGTCTCAGTTCATACTTGTCTCTTTTTTTCCCTTCGGCTCTATTAGAGTCTAGCTCTTTTCTATTAGAATAAAAGAAATCCTATTAGAATTTTTTTAAAAATAAACAGTTAACAATCCAATTTTTTCTTTTTCCTTAATCTTTTTCAATAACCTTTATTATATCCCATTGAATCCTTTTTCAATCCCTAAAAATAACTTTTTATGCCCTTTTCAATGTCACTTCATACTTATCCAGTTTTATATCTTCCTGCTATGCTGGAGGTAAAGGGATAGAAATCCTATCTCCTTGAATATTTGTTTATCTCTGAGATGGAAAGAGGTAAAGTTTATCTCTTTTAATCTATCACTTTTTTTATTACTACTATCGCTTCCTATCTTCTCTTCTTCCCAATCTTTTTGAATAACATTTTTCTTATCTTCTTCAATACATACTTTTCCTATCTACTTTCTTCCTTTTCTGTCGCTACTTTAATCTATAAGAAAACACTAATCTCTGCTTATGATCTTCCTTTATCCCAGACTTTTCCTTGTTTAATCCCTTCAATCTCTTTTTATCTCATCTTTTTTCTCAACCTCTTCTAATAACCCTTATTTTATCTATTTTAATCCTACTACTATTTACTTCATTCTCTTTTTATCCTCATTTGAATCTTTGTTATACCTTGGGTTTAATCTTAGTCTATCACCCAGTGTTGCCATACCCGATGGCTATGATTGCGGAAGCGCAGGCGCAAAAATGCGGATTTCCATTTCAAATTGCGGAATATTTAAAAAATTGTTTTAAAACACTACCCTCACAGCATCGGGATATTCAGGATATTCCAGAGACGTCCTGGGGATATCGATTTGTTTTCGGAAGTTTTGATATCCCTGGAATATCATCTGGATATCCATGGACGTCCCTAGGATATCCCAGAGATATCCAAACTTCCGAAAACAAATCGATATCCCCAGGACGTCTCTGGGATATCTTGAATATCCCGGTGCTGTGAGGGTATAGTATAGTTTATAAAATGAAAATAAAGTTGGAAACTTTATAAGTAATGTTTTTTTCAATTTTTTCAATTAGAATTTTGTATTATTTTCAATATATTAAGTAACATACAAATTTTTAGAATTTATTACATTTTGATTGTATATTAAGGAAAAATCCGACAAACAATCGGAATAAAAGTTAGTTTAATGTCACAATTTCGTATTTTAAAAGAAAGGGTCAAATTAAATTAAAATTTTTTTTTGGTAGAAGCATAAGGGACTTAATCTTCTATATTTTGAACAATTTAAAGTTATATTTGACTAAAAATTATAATTTTTTATCAATAATAAATTATTTAAGTAACATAACCTAAAATTTAACAAATGTTTGTTATTGACAGAAAATTGTAATTTTTATTCAAATACAATTTTCAATCGTTTTAAATGTTTAAAATTAAATTTTTGACCTTTACACAAAAACGAATTTAATTTTAAATTTGTCTTTTTCCTTTAAATCACAAAATTATGACATTGGACTAACTTTTATTTTCACTGTCTATCATATTCTTCTTTAAATGAATAAATCACATTTTTTAGTATTAATTTTTGCAGTATAAAAATTATAAATTTTCTCATAGAAGTTTTTTAAACCTATCATAGATTTGTCATATCTTTATAATATACACATAGAATGCTTCGTACTTCAATATTTCTATAGTAGTATCACATAATTTTATTTAAAAAAGCAGAACTATTGTCAAAATGCGGAGTTTTTAGTGATCCGCAATTGTCAATGCGGATTCCGGATGAAGGTCTCGTTTTGCGGTGTAAAATGCGGAAATGCGGTGTATCTGGCAACACTGCTATCACCTCTCGATTCGATTCAATCTATTTCCATCGCCTACTTTTGCTCAATCCCTTTTAATAACCTATATTTTATCTCCATTAATTCTTTTACTATTTATTTTCTTTCCTTTTCATTGTAACTTTATTCTAATGCCATACTTTTCTCTTTTTATCCTCTCGATTCTATATCAGTCTATTTCTTTCCAATTCGATTGAAAAAGGCCTTTTCTTCTTTTATCTCAATAATTTTTTTATGACATTTATTCTGTTCTTTTAAAAAAGAGATCAACTGAAAGATAAAGAGTGATAGAGTAAGAGATAAAAAGATATCAATACAGTCCCGAAATTTAAAAGGTAGTTCAAGAAAAATATCTTCCAAGCTAGCGTGGCTGTGTGACATGTGTATTCGACTTGCGTCCCGAAGGTTCAGGGTTCGAGCCCTCCTGCGTGCAAGATTTTTCAAATTCAGTTTTAAGTGTTATGTGTACAATGTTAGTTAATAATGTAAAATAAAATATAGATTTATACAATAAATAATAATTTCATAACAAATAAATAAATAACTTGATTTGTGAAAAATAGGTTATAAATAGAATTACGAAAACTCTAAAAATATTTTTTTAAATAATAAATTCAATTGAAATTGTAATACTTCATAAAGTCTTTAACCTCTTGACTGTGGATGACGTGTATACACGTCATGAAAAAACTGGCCCAAACAGTGGATGACGTGTATACACGTCATGGCCCGAACAAGAAAACATCTTAACGTATATTCGCAAAAATTCTTACCCGGGGGTTTTTAAGGTCGCTGATCACGATTCTGAAGTCAGATTTTCAAAATAAATAATTTTTTATCCAAAATGGCCGCCAAAAATTTTGAAAAATTTCAAAAGTAGATAAATTCTTTTAAAAATTCTTACTCGGGGGTTTTTGGGGTCGCTGATCACGATTCTGAAGTCATATTTTCAAAATACATAATTTTTCATCCAAAATGGCCGCTAAAAATTTTGAAAAATTTTAAAAGTAGATAAATTTTTTTAAAAATTCTTACTCAGGGGTTTTTGGGGTCGCTGATCACGATTCTGAAGTCATATTTTTAAAATAAATAATTTTTCATACAAAATTTCCGCCAAAAATTTTGAAAAATTTCTAAAGTGGATAAATTCTTTTAAAAATTCTTACTATTTAAACTTTGAAAAACTAATAACAGATGCGTAATTAGCGACCACGAAAACCCCCGAGTAACGAATTTTAAGCGAATCTAATGAATTTTTCAAAATTGTGTCTGCCATTTTGGATCCGCCATTTTGAATTTTAAAAAACTAATGCCAGATTTGTAATCAGCGAACACGAAAACCCCCGAGTAACGAATTTTAAGCGAATCCAATGAATTTTTCAAAATCCTGTTCGCCATTTTGGATTTGACATTTTGAATTTTAAAAAACTAATGTCAGATTCGTAATCAGCGACCACGAAAACCTCCGAGTAACGAATTTTAAGCGAATCCAATGAATTTTTTAATATCGTGTCCGCCATATTGGATCCGACATTTTGAATTTTTGAAAATTAACACCGGAATCGTAATCAGCGACCCCAAAAACCCCTTAGTACATAGTGTCATGAAAATTTATTCACAAGAAGGTCTTACACATTTTGGGACCATTTTGTTATATTTTAGCTGCACACTGAAGGGGTTAATATTGTTAATAATATTGGTTAATTTATTTTTTATTTATTAAAAAGGATAAAAATTTGCAGCAAAGAGAAATAAAAAGAGATAAAAGTATATAGGTATAAAAATAAATAGATATAAGGAGATAATAGGGTATAAAAAGGGATAGAAATTTGTAGATAAAAAGTTATATTTTGGGTATGCAAAGTGGCTAATTCAAAGGGATAGAAAAATCTTGATCTCTTTCTATCTCCAAAATTCTATCTCTTTCTATCTTTTTTACTACCAGTAGGGAAGTCTCTGCGAAAGAAAACTTGGGGCGGTATTCATAGTCCCGACTTAAGCAAGGACTTAAGCTTTGCTTGATCAAGTCGGTCTTATTCGAATGAGTCGAGCTTAAGACCGTATGTATTCATAGTCAAAAATAAGCAATTGCTTGGTAAAGGAAATGCAGCTTAAGAACTTCTTGACCAAGCAAATGCTTAAGATGATCTTATTGAACGTTCGGCTCTTTCCGTTAATATTCTCTTGTATTCACCAATGAACGATGGTTTTGAGAATTCGCCTCAATGCGCACAAGCAATATTCGTACAATACTTCGCGTTGCATTCAATTTGAGTTTTCGTTTCGTTTGAAATATCAGTCAGTGCATCTTGCTATTTTAATTGTTTTTATAGTGATTAATTCAAATATAAATATTCAATACATTTTATATGTAAAGTTTAAAATTGGTGTATTAGTTGTGAACAAGTGATTTAATAATGTAAGTATATTTTTATAATGTAATTTATAAAAATGTCTAATTCAAAACTGTTTAATAAATTTAAAATGTAAATTTGTAAAATATTTTTTTTAAAAATTTTTTCAAGTGTAGTAATGAAACAAGATTTAAAAATATGAATTTCTTAATAATTAATATTGTTTAAAAGCGGAAAAATTAAAAAAACACCAAATAAAATATATGAAAAATATGAAAAATAATAATATGCAGATGGAACACATAACAGTAGAATATTTATAAAATACTATTACCAATATTAATATTTTAAAAACTAAGTACAGCTTTTATAGAATAATAACGATTATTTTTTTATTAAAAAGACTAAGTAATTTATTTTTCATGTACTATCTTTGTCAGAAAAGTAATAACTCAACTATATAGAATAATAAAAAGAAGCAAAATTCAAAAGTTTTATAAATAAATAAACTTCATTTTTGTAATGCGAAATATAAATTTTTTAAAATAATTTTTTTCATGCTAGAATATATGTTTTAATTTTCGAAAGTAAAACCAGTCTTATTTCTTACTACTTTCAAAGAGGTAAGCGAAATGTTGACATCTGGATTTTATGGGGGTGTAGGATTAAGTCCCTTAACGTGAGCAAAATCTCAATATATTCAGGAAAAAAGTTATAAAGTAAAAGGATACAAAAAATGACTACCTGAATGGGGAAAAAGTGAAACTGAAAACAAATTTATTTCAATATATATATTTTGTCAGGATTAAGAAATCCTGACAAAATATAAGTATATTGAAAGTAATTTGTCTTCATTAAGATAGAAAAATTTATTTGCAATATGCGTTATAGTTTAAACAAAAATTATTTCTTAGAAATTATTTGACTTTAATTTATAATTATTTAAATTCTTTATAATAAAATTTTTTTTATTTTTAATGAATACTTATGAGGCATTCTCAGTGTAATTTTCACTCAAAATTTTTTTTTGATTGAAACAATTTTTTTTCGAATTTTATATTAAAATAAGTAAATACATGTTTTTTTATTTGCTCAAAATTATGAAAGTTATAGTTTTTTTAGATTTAACGTTTTTAAATGCAGAGGACTTTTGAAACAATTTTTTCTCTGTTATAGCAAAAGATAAAAAATTATACAATATATGAAAATTATTTATTTTTTCATGAATATTTCAAATACGTAATAAAAAATAACATGATTAAAGCGAAAACATTAAATAAATTAAAATTTCGTCGAAAATGTGACTTTCTCAAAAGCGAAGTAATTGGATTTACGATTTTTTTCTTTCATTACAACCACTGAGAAATAAAGAAATTTTTCCCACTTATGTCAAAGTGGTGTTCTTTAGAGTTCCTTCTCTAAAATCTGTGCAACGACTGACATAATTTTAAATATAATTTGAATTCTAAAGAACACCACTTTAGCATAAGTGAGAAAAATTTCTTTATTTATCAGTGGTTGTAATGAAAGAAAAAAATCGAAAATCAATTACTTCGCTTTTGAGAAAAGTCACATTTTAGACGAAATTTTATATTATTTAATGTTTTCGCTGCATTATTGTTATTTTTTATTACATATTTGAAATATTCATGAAAAAATAAATAATATCCATATATATTATATAATATTTTATCTTTTGGTATAACAGAGAAAAAAGTGTTTCAAGTGCTCTGCATTAAAAAAACCATAACTTACTTTCATAATTTTGATCAAATAAAAAAGTAAAAAAACACGTATTTACTTATTTTTTATATAGAATTCGAAAAAAATTGTTTCAATCAAAAAAAATTTTTGAGTGAAAATTACACTGAGAATGTACCATATGTAGAAATTAACAAATTATAAAATGTATAAATAGATAAAAATTTGTTTAAAATTTTTTTAAAAATTGTTAATTAATAATAACTTCTAAAACAATGATCTTCCATTAATTTTTTTAATGAATAGTTATAGTTATAAGTATGTAGTCTCTGTTAAGTAAGCAATGCTGAGCGTTAGAAAATTTTAATTGTTTATAAACAATTTGTTAAAAAATCATGAAAATAATGTTTCTAAAATTGTTATTGCTATTAAATAATAATTTTAAATATATATACATATAAAATTTAAATTTTATACTAATTATTATAACATTTTTTTGTAGTGATAAAATGTATAAAAAGCATTACACAGATGCGGAGAAAAAACTTTTCCTTGAAATTCTTAAAGGATTTTCGCACATTGTTGAAAATCGCAAAAACGATGGTTCCACCATGAAAGCTAAGGAGGTTGCGTGGGGTGAAATCGAAGAAACATACAATGGCTCAGTACATATTGCAGAGCAGGTAAAACTAATTGATTGTGCTAAGCAAACGAAATTTTTAAAGATATGTTTGAAGTTTCTAAACAAGTTTTTCTTTTAGAGGTCGATTAAACAATTGAAAAAAATGTGGAGCAACATGAAGGCGCAACAGAGAAATGCTTTGACTCAGGAAAGGCAGGATGTAATGGCAACGGGAAACCTTGATGTTCCAATAAAAGTTGCTGAAGTGAATCCAGAGATAGCAGCAATAGTTCCTGATTTAATGACCACTGCGCCATCACTTTTTTCTTCAAACTTCTCAGAAGATTTAATAAATGGTAAAGTAATTTTCAGGTTGTAAGTTTAAAATAATTATTTTAAAAATAAATCATAACCAAATGTTTTGTTTTATTTTAGACCGTCGAAATGCAGTATTCGATGAGGAGGTTATATCAGCAGAGACTCTCAAAGACGTTGTAACGTCTAACTCTGCGATTGATGAATCAGAAGTTTCATTTCATTTGAACACTTCATCTCCTGTGTCTGATGTTAAGAAGAGGCGATTTCAAGAAGATGAAATTCATCAATCACAAACATCTTCTCCTTTGTCTGTGAAAAAGAGGTGTGTGAGCAAGGAGTCCATGCTCGACGAGGAAAAGTTGAACGTGGTGCACTCTGCGCCAAATAATAAAATAAACAAACAAAAACTTGAGAAGCATAATACAAAAAAGACTGAACGTTTGTGGAGTTTAATGCAGAAAGAGGAAGAGTTGCTTTCATTAAAATTGGAGCACCAAATTAGAAAACAGAATTTTGAAATGGAGCATTTAAAAAAAATTTACGAATTAGAAATTCGTAAAGCCGAGGCAGAAGCTCAAATAGCGGAGATGCGGTTAAGACAGTCAATGGAGTAAGTAAAAGTAAATTGTTATGACTAATTTCATGTGCTTCGAATTTTTAATTTATGTTACTTCTTTAAATACTTCATGTTAGAATATTTTAATTCATTTATTCCAAAGTTAGTATAATTAACAGTATTAAGTAATTAAGTGTGCATTTTATAATTTAGTAGAGATAATTTATTACACAGAATTTTATTTTTTAGATTTTTTATATATAATAATATTTATACATTTTATTATATTATATATTATATTTAATTTTATATTGGAAATCGAGATTGTTTAACAAATTATTATTTAAAAATAGTAAGGCTGTAAAGATGTGTTATTTATTGGGAAGAAAAGATTTTATTGAAAAATATTAATTGCAGTTGTAGTATTCTTCAAGTATAATATAGTAATATTATTAAAATGTTAAATAATAAACTTTTATACACTTTTTTGTAATTTTATTGTTTATGAAATAAAAAAAATATGTACACAAAATATTTTGACTCAATGGTTTTTGTTTTTAAAAAATTAAATGTCTTTATATATTTTACCGAAACATATATAATCCATATAATACTTATAATCAATTAAATAAACGATGAACTAGTAATTGACGAGCTACTTCTCCATCCATATTAATATTTTCTGCATTAGGTACAGGAACTTCTTCATATTCATGTAACTCATCGTCTTCTGGTAATATGTCATTGAAACGTAAGGCCATATTATGTAAAACTGCACATGCTACTACAGTCGTTGTAGAACAAACGAGTTTCGTTGCCATTCCCCGCGCCAAACATGGAAATCTTCGTTTCCACACACCAAAAGTTCGCTCAACAATTATTCTCGTTCTTATTTGAATTTCATTGTACCTAAAAAATTTAATATTACATAAATGTCAATTTTTCTTTTCAGCAAGTAGTTATATTGATGTAAAAATAATTTAAATACTTACTTCATTTCCTCTTCATTATGCGGATTTCTGAAAGGTGTCATAAGAAAAGGCAAACAGGGATATCCTTTATCACCTACAAGAATCCCATCTAATCGTCCTTGAACGTAGCGCATGTGGATTAATGAGTTCTGAAATATCCGACTGTCATGTGCCCTACCCGGCCATTCTGGTACAATGTCGAGAAATTCCATTCGTGGTCCCACCACAGCCTAGAAAAAAATTGCATAATTTTCATTTTTAAACATAAACTTATAAAATGTCAGAATGTACGATGTCAAAAATATTCGGAAACTTAAATGTATATTTAGTTTGGAGCCTTTAATGGAAATTTCATATCAGAAATAACGTTTCTACTATTCTGCAATAGAAATCCTTAATAACAATTGTTTCCATTAGAGTCTACCTACTTGTACATTGAGTGAAAAATAACCTTTTCTATTTCTAAACATTTCTTCAACCTGGTTAAATCTTGTACCGACTAACTTAATGTGAGTGCAATCAATCGCTCCATCAACACGAGGAAGTCCTATTGCTCCATGACCTCTTCCTAAAACGTTGAACAAGCGATGATTTTCATTTCGGGCATCACCAGTTGTTGGAATTTTGATGTATAAATTAATGAGGCTGGCAAGCAAAGTGGCAACACGAAAAACAATTCTTGAGACAGTTGATTGAGAAACTTTCATTGTGTCGGCAATAACAAGCTGCAAAAATATAATACAAAATAAATTTCAAAATTTTTACATTCCCATCACACGAGATAATATTTTTTAATAGTACTGAAACTATATTTAAAATTGAGTTCATATAATTCTACAATTTTCGCAAAAAATTATTTTAAATGAAAATTTAATGTTAAATAAAAGATTAATTAACATTTTATGTTTTTTCATAAAAATTACGTACAAATCGTAATATTTACTTAATTTTTTTAACAATAGCTTATTTCACTATAAACTATTCTCTACATTCTACATGTTAAACTTTGTTTAAAAAGTTACGTTTAAAGATTATAATTTTAAAAAATAAAATTTATTTTATAATTTTTAAATATCGTTTAGAAATTAAATGATTTTTTATTTGAAAAAATTGGACAAAAATTTCTATCTATAGGTAATTTTTAAGAAAAACTATGTACAAACTGTTAATTTTATTCTTTTTATTTAACAATAAATTTTGTTTAAAACTGTACAAATGGGTTATTTAATATGAGGTGAAATCCACTTTAAATATATTTTCACTTTTGATAAAACATAAATTTTTAGTTTGAGGTTATGTTAGTTGATTACAACCGTAAAGGTTACAAATTCTATTTAATTTACAATAACAAAAGTTAATTCTTTTTTTAATAAAAGGTTAAAACTATGTAAAGTATGAGGTTATGTTAATAGTTTACAAATGTAAAAGTTACAAATTCTATTTAATTTCTAATAACAAAACTTAATTCTTTTTTTAAAAAAGGTTAAAACTGCATGTAAAGTTTTTTCATAATAGTTGATTATTTACAAGAATGTTCTTTTTTAAATAAAATGGAATATAAAGTGAAATTTTAAATTACCTGAAAACTTGAAGTTGCAAAATATCGTAAACAGATAAGTAACTGTAGCTGTGGTGCAATGGGTAAACCACGATTGTTATGTTTAATTAGACCTGCCTGTATTTCAGGCAAAATTCCAAATAACACAGAATCTTTTGTAAAACGATAACGTCTCTGGAAGTCCCATTCATCAATTTCAAAAGGATTTTCTGCATCTCGAATGTATCTTTTTGCACGTCTTATATTATTTGGACCACCTTCATTATCACTATCGTCCTCAATATCACTTAAATTATCTAATATATCCATTGTGAACACTTTCCAATTATATATTCACTAATAAGTAATTGCTTAAGTCAAGTAAAACGTTGACTTAAAATCATAACCTCAATTCGTTCAAATAAGTTCACCGGCAATGTCAAATAAGTTCAACTTATTTGACTATGAATACTTGGCGTTCTTAAGATGGGACTATGCATCTCAAAATCGAACAATTTACTTTTCCAAGCAAATGCTTAAGTTGCGGCTTAAGGCAATGCTCATTGCACGACTATGAATCTAGGTGGCAGCTTAAGTCGCTGCTTAAGTAATAAGTATCGACTATGAATACCGCCCTTGATCATCTTTTGCATAAGGAGAAAAGTAAGAACCTGATAATTTACAAAATCCCAGACACAGTGAACGAAAAGAAAAACCTACTTGAAACAGTAATAAATATTATTCGCAAGGCGAATATAGATATAACGCCTGAAAGTGTTACTGACGTCAGAAGGCTAGGTAAACAAGAAGGTTCACGACCGGTTCTAATTTCATTCAATAACATGAAGTGGAAATCACTATTGTTAAAATAGGAAAATATTAATTGATATGAAATATAACATCGCTAATGACCTGTCTAGAGAAGAAATAGAAATGCGACGAAATAATTACGAAATTTTATTAAAATACAAGGAACTATTGTTAAAAACTGGCAAACTAGCTACCATCAGGGGTCGAAAAATTATTGTGGATGATAATGCACTGGATGTTGAAGAAATAAAAAAGTTAATGGAAACGTCTGAGATTCCAGAGGAAAATCAAACAGAATACAACAGCTAGCGGTAGTAAAAGAGGGAGAAAATCGGGATCCAAAAACAAAGTAAAAAAAGCAAAAAATCTCAAAAATAAAATCTACCGTCAACCCCCTCAAAAACTTTTTAATTCAGCAAAAATTGAACACATCTAACCAGCATGCAGAATCTAATGGCAGTAAAAAAGCATAGCTCAGCACAGGGGCGCATGATTATTCCCCAAATGTCATTTTTGCGAAATGTCATTTTTGCGAACTGCACTTTTGCGAAAAGTCATTTTTCCGAAATGTCATTTTTGCGAAATGTCATTTTTGCGAAAAGTCATTTTTACGAAAAGTCATTTTTACGAATTGTCATTTTTGCGAAAAGCCATTCTTGCGAAATGTCATTTTTGCGAAAAGTCATTTTTACGAAAAGTCATTTTTACGAATTGTCATTTTTGCGAAAAGCCATTCTTGCGAAATGTCATTTTTGCGAAAAGCCGTTTTTGCGAAATGTCATTTTTGCGAAATGTCATTTTTACGAAAAGTCATATCAGCGAAAAGCAAATTTTGCGAAATGTCATTTTTACGAATTGTCATTTTTGCGAAATGTCACTTTTGCGAATCGCCATTTTTACGAATTGTCACTTTTGCGAATCGACATTTTTACGAAATGTCATTTTTACGAATTGTAATTTTTTCGAAATATCATTTTTGCGAAAAGTAATTTTTGCGAAATGTCATTTTTACGAAAAGTTATTTTTGCGAAATGTCATTTTTGCGAAATGTCATTTTTACGAAAAGTCATATCAGCGAAAAGCAAATTTTGCGAAATGTCATTTTTACGAATTGTCATTTTTGCGAAATGTCACTTTTGCGAATCGCCATTTTTACGAATTGTCACTTTTGCGAATCGACATTTTTACGAAATGTCATTTTTACGAATTGTAATTTTTTCGAAATATCATTTTTGCGAAAAGTAATTTTTGCGAAATGTCATTTTTACGAAAAGTTATTTTTGCGACAAGTCATTTTTGCGAAATGGCATTTTTACGAATTGTCATTGTTGCGAAAAGCCGTTTTTGCGAAATGTCATTTTTGCGAAATGTCATTTTTACGAAAAGCTATTTTTGCGAAATGTCATTTTTGCGAAATGTCATTTTTACGAATTGTCATTTTTGCGAAAAGTCATTTTTACGAAATGTCATTTTTGCGAAAAGTCAATTTTGCCAAATGTCATTTTTACGAATTGTCATTTTTGCGAAAAATACAATAGTGAATCTATATATACTACTAGTTTACTATTGTATTTTTCGCAAAAATGACATTTCGCAAAAGTGACAATTCGTAAAAATGACATTTCGCAAAATTGACTTTTCGCAAAAATGACATTTCGTAAAAATGACTTTTCGCAAAAATGACAATTCGTAAAAATGACATTTCGCAAAATTGACTTTTCGCTAAAATGACTTTTCGTAAAAATGGCTTTTCGCAAAAATGACATTTCGCAAAAACGGCTTTTCGCAACAATGACAATTCGTAAAAATGCCATTTCGCAAAAATGACTTTTCGCATAAATAACTTTTCGTAAAAATGACATTTCGCAAAAATGACTTTTCGCAAAAATGATATTTCGCAAAAATTACAATTCGTAAAAATGACATTTCGTAAGAATGTCGATTCGCAAAAGTGACAATTCGTAAAAATGGCGATTCGTAAAAGTGACATTTCGCAAAAATGACAATTCGTAAAAATGACATTTCGCAAAATTTGCTTTTCGCAAAAATGACTTTTCGTAAAAATGACTTTTCGCAAAAATGACAATTCGTAAAAATGACATTTCGCAAAATTGACTTTTTGCTGATATGACTTTTCGTAAAAATGACATTTCGCAAAAACGGCTTTTCGCAAAAATGACATTTCGCAAGAATGGCTTTTCGCAAAAATGACAATTCGTAAAAGTGACTTTTCGTAAAAATGACTTTTCGCAAAAATGACATTTCGCAAAAATGACATTTCGGAAAAATGACATTTCGCAAAAGTGCAGTTCGCAAAAATGACATTTCGCAAAATTGACATTTGGGGAATAATCATGCGCCCCCTCAGCACAAACGAAATCAACCCCAAAATAGTATTCTGGAATGCAAAGGGATGGACCAATAATACGAATTTATCACCATTTCTCAAGGACATTGACATAATTTGTATTTCGGAAACTTGGATGACGTCATTACCACAGTCTTTTCCCCCATTCAACTTTAATTTGATTGACAGCCCAGCAGTAAGAACAACCGAACAAGGAAGAGCCAGCGGAAGATTACTCATCGCGTTAAATGCAAGTAAATACAAATATAAGACAATTAAAATCACAGAACAATTTATAATCGTCGAAATTAAAATTAACTCTAATAATAGGAATTTCATCCTCGGAGTTATCTATTTAAGACCAGATACAAATATTGATCTTTTTTGCGCAGAATTTAATGAAATAGTTATACTAATTAACAATAATTATCCAAATTCACCTTTAATTATAGGAGGAGATTTTAATGTTAGTATAGGTGATTTAAATCAACTACAAAAAAATGTACTCCCAGAAAATGTTAATATCACTCCCTTTAGAGCTAACTCAGACAAAATAAAAAAGGAAGAGATTTGGTGCGTTGAACGGAAGAGAACGGACTTATTGTTTTAAACGGTAGATTGCCAGGAGATTTTGCGGGTCAATTTACTTATTTTTTGAACGGTAAAAAATCTACTAACGCACTGACTAATTTTCACGAGTAGACCTCTTCGCAGACGAATTGGTATCCTCAATAACAGCGCAAGCTATGTCAATAGGCATGATATCAAAAATAAATAATAAAACTGGTCAGTCAAAACCGTGGTATGACTCTGAGTGTGTGGCGCTGAAAAAATAGTTTAAAAATATTACTGAAAAAATGCAAATATGAAAAATTTTTGAATGATAAAACAATTATAGAATATACTAATACAAAAAAAATGTATCACAATACAAAAAAGTTAAAAATGGAGAGTTATAAGGATTCAATTCTCAACAAGTTATCACAGTGTAAAGATTCTAAAATTTTCTGGAAAGTGATTAATGGTTTTAGACGAAAATATAATAATATTAAAAATGATATTGATTTAAAAGTCTGGTACGAATATTTTAGCAATTTTTTTCAGAAAAACGAATTACATAAAAAACCGAATACAATTATTGAAATACCCATTAAACATAGCAACCCAGCATAAGAAAAACCTATCATAAGAGAGGAAGTTATTTCCACCTTGAGAAATAGTAAAAATAATAAATCCCCGGAACAGACGAAATTTTTTTTGAATTTCTAAAAAATTTACCTGAGAAATGGATTAATTTTGTAGCTCTCCTTTTTAACAAAATTTTAAACGAAGAAAGCTCTAATTAAAAATCCGGACAGATTTCGGACTAATCCGAAATTTGTCCGAAGCAGTGCGGTTTATGGTCAGGTTTTTGTCACCCGAAATTAATCCGAATAAATCCGAACTCTCTACGGTTTGTAAACAACTAGTAAATCCGGAGTTGGTCGGATGAAGTCCGAAACAGTCAAAAATTAGTTCGGACAATTTAGTGAATGTTAATAAAAAAATAATTATACAAGTTACACATATTAATTATTATTACTTTATGGTACATTCAACATATTTTTCGATTTACCTATCGCAATTTTATTTACATTAACTTAAAATTTCTAACGCTTGGGGATTTGAACCTACACCTATCTAACATTATATCGCACCGAAATCGAATACACTAACCACTATACCACGCTCGCATGGGAGTTCAAATTCATAATAGAATTTATCAAGTGCCACGAAAAGAAATGATAAAAAACTAACACATCAGTGTTAATTATAATATTAAAAAAGATAACTAATATTACTAGTGTAAAATCAAATTGACTGCAAAAGTAAATATTTTATTTATCTTGTCCGAAGTTAGTCTGATAACACTGGTCGACACTAAAAATGATTTAAAGATTGGACAAGGATATTCTTGTAGGATTTTCATCGCTGAACACGAATCTGACCTCTAAAAGTGCCCATCACGTCGAGATTTTGAGAAAAATGGACTCAAAGTCTCAAAAAACCCTGTTTTTGGCCTTTTTTTATCACGTGTAGAGAATGATGCCGAGGTGCTAGAAATCTCTAATTAGTCTTAAATTAAAGCTTGAACTGTCAACTATAAGAATCAAATCAAAAAAGTTATGAATCAATCAAAAATTTTTATATAGCACAACTTTTTCATGTGCGCGCGCACTCTACTTGCACTCATAGAGCGGTACACAATGGCACACTTACTTATTCATTTTATTTGCGCTATTTATTGTTTTTTTATCATTTTTGGGGTCGCTGAACGTTGCTGATTGAATGTAAGGTCGTTATTAAAAAACTATTATTAAATTATTATTATTAAATTTTTATGTCCGCCATTTTGAAAGCGCCATTTTGAATTTTTTAATAACGACCTTACATTCAATCAGCAACGTTCAGCGACCTCAAAAATGATAAATAACAATAAATAGCGCAAATAAAATGAATAAGTAAGTGTGCCATTGTGTACCGCTCTATGAGTGCAAGTAGAGTGCGCGCGGACATGAAAAAGTTGTGCTATATAAAAATTTTTGATTGATTCAGAACTTTTTTGATTTGATTCTTATAGTTGACAGTTCAAGCTTTAATTTAAGACTAATTAGAGATTTCTAGCACCTCGGCATCATTCTCTACACGTGATAAAAAAAGGCCAAAAACAGGGTTTTTGAAACTTTGAGTCCATTTTTCTCAAAATCTCGACGTGATGGGCACTTTTGGAGGTCAGATTCGTGTTCAGCGATGAAAATCCTATAAGAATATCCTTGTCCGATCTTTGAATCAGAAAAAAAGTTATTTTTTGTCGACCAGTGTAATACGCAACTTTCAAATGTGAATTTATCTGCATTTAATACAAATTGTTTTTAATATACAAATTCAATATCATACCAAAATCATTCCGGATTAAGTCTTTGAATTGGATTGCGAGTATGGATTGTTTTGGACTGTCTGTGGATTGTATATTTACAAATTCCATATTATTATAAGACTTCTTTTCAAACTGGGGTGTTTTGATCGGATATTATTCGGATTGCCGCTGACTATTACC